GGCAATTTTCACACATCACAAATTTCCTTTGGTAGCATTTTCTATTTTTTTTTCTGATGATTCCTTTTGACATTATCATCATATTGGAACAATAAAAAGAAGGGGTCACTGTACTTGTTTTCATGCAATAGCTTTCGTGAGTTTAGCAATTTCCACGTGCGTTCTCGCGCATTTAAAAATCTGGATTCTATAAGATCGACATTTGCTCATGATCTATTTTAGCTACCGCTGACAATTGCATGTTCTCGCGCGAGCACCTATGATCTGATGTTTAAAGACGTTTACTGCTAAGAAAATCATTAAACAGCTCAAAGACAGCCTCCCGAACTCATCTTAAAAATCCTACACATGACTTCTGGCTATATCATATTATTTTCCTTGAAGTTTCAAAGTCTTCTTCCACTTCAGGTAGATTATCGTTCACTTGAGTTCTTCTTTTCTCACCATCGCAAGATTTCATATCGGTTGAATATTACTTTTAAATGTGAAGTGAAGCAACCTTTACTTCTCTGAAAATCATCTTCATTATCTTAGTTTCTATTTCCTGCATTCACAGTTGCCGCTCAACACATCAAATACAAGCTCGTAGGTAAACTTCTCACATAAGAAGAAAAAATCATCGCGCCGCCATCTTTGTTTTAAATTTTCATCTTTTAATCTCGCGCTTCTTTCGCACGTTTCTCTCGCGCATGACCCTAGAGTGATCTGTTCCCCGCGCAAGGAAACTGGTACGAGCCACCTTAACCATTGCATGAAAGAGTGAAAAATGAGAAAAGCTCAATTTAGAGGACTGCAAAAAAGGAAATTTGAGTTTCACTTTAATGGACAAATGTTTGAGATTATCATGGAGAATATATAAGACTACTTGAAGATTACATGTCAGAATAAGCTGCATAAGTGAGTCCCATGGGTGTTTACAGTTTTTACTTATTATGAAATCTACAAAGCAATTAATTTTTGTTGTACTTATTACTCCTTAGACAAGGTTTAAAACATGTAAGTGTCCAGAAAAATTCTATTAATAATTTATCATGAAAGAAAGAAGGAAATACAGGTATAATCAAAATAAATAAAAAAGAAACAACAAAACTACACCTTTACCTCATTCAAAAATGCACCAAAATCAATATCATCAACACCTGAATCCCTAAGGTGAATAAGGCTGTTGCGGGTTTCATTGCTGAAGACATTCACATCACTCAGGTTGACCTTTAAATTGTCAAACTGCTCTGTAGTATCATTTCCAAGCAACTGCATAAGTAAACAACAAAAGCAACATTTGGGTGGCCAAAAACATAACCAATCACAAGTCACCTTTCAATTCATTCTTGAAATATGTACCCATGTACAGGGCTTAAAACTAACTTTTCAACTTACTAGCCAAGTGGCTAGTGATATTTTAGATGTTACAACAATTTCAGTTTGTTTACTAGGCAAACTGGCTAGTGGAAATCTAAAACCACTAGCCAAACCTGAATTTCTACTAGTCTGTGGCTAGTGGGCTACGGTTAGTGTCGAGTCCTGATGTAAAAATGAAAACAAAACATAAAAAAAGAATGAAAAATTAGCACATACTCATGTACTTGACTTCTCTCTGATCATTTTACAGTGAATAAAACTTACTAAGGTAAAACTCAACATGTTACCATTTATGAAACAAAGAAACCATTGCAATGCAATGAACACAAGATGTGTAACAACATCAACAAAGCGTCATTCATACAAGGAATTCTGTTAGTATTTGTTCACATAATTCATGATATCCATATACATTTAGGTGACTTCACTTGATACTAAACTGTAAAAACAGTGTAATACTGTAGGCTTAACCTTTTTGATGTCCAGCCTGTCTGAAATATTAAAAGCTTGATCAAAGGGCCCAGCTTTGAATAGTGGTTTGTTCTGCCGGCAGTTTCTGAAATAAAACAAAATTGAAACATCATCATAACTACTCAAATATGTTCCTGTTAACCAACAAATGGCAAAATGTTTGTGAGTAGCTAACGCTAAGCCACAAGTAACACTTAGGTAATTTCCTGAGCTTCCTAGCATGCATTCCCAAAAAACAAATGTGTTTTACACAACATGATCTGCGAACGTCAGATTTAGAGCAGTCAAAGTTGCCTTGCTAGTTTTGTTCTGCAAAGGAGCATTTTCTTAGATTTCTTTAGATTTCAACCAGTCCATTACCCTCATCACTGGACAAAGCTAGTTTGTAGCTCAATTTTGTTCTTTTTTAATGTGTCCTCTTAAGATTTTCATGTGTTTCATCAAAACAAGCCGACTTGTGAACAGTTCGTTCTTCCAATTGATTTCTTTGTCATGTATTACTTTCTAGTTTTATGCTTCTTTCTGTAACCTGCTGAGGATATTAAAGGGAAGTTGTAATTCTGCCAGCACTGTGATAGTGAAATGTTGGGATGGAATTGGACCGATTTATTGCCCAAAAGATCACCGGTAACAGTTTGAATGAAGGTATGGTGTTCTACACTGCATGTTTGTGTAAGCAAGTTACTTATTGAAGACAACAGAGAGACTATAATTGTAACTGACATGCACCTATCAACCTCTAAGCTTGTTTCTAAACTTGCTAATTAATGACACTCCAAAACTTTTGCATAACAGAAGACCAATAGTGATGGCAAAAAGGTAAATGGCCTGGTCTCAATCCAGATTTCTAAACATTAAACCTGTGAAATGCTATGTTGTATATTCAGCAGGGAACATCACAATTACTCAGAAGAGACAACTTGCAAAAAATTACTGCAGCAGAGAGCATCACTCACTCAATGAATCCACCTATAGTGAATTGTATGTTTGACTTATTTGCACCAAAAAAGGTTCTTGATAAGAGGTATCCTTCATCACCCCAAAAGCGTGGATTATCCACAACCTGAAAATAGTATTTTTTAAAAACCATTAAAAAAAAAATTTTGTAAAACAATTAAAAAGAATTAATGTCAGAATTAAAAGTCAGTAACTTAATCACTTTAATTACAATGTTCATGATTTTAGTATTTTCCACAAAATGACACAGTCACAAATCTTCAACACTATTTGTCCCTGGATACATATGGTAAAATAGTAATTAAAGTTCTTATTGATTTCCTGAAATTGGTAGAACACCTTGAATACTGTAAACTGCTGCTTAGAAGCACCCCCCAGCCCACTTTAACACCCCCCCCTGGTTATCGGCCCACAAATGCATCTGATTTGAAGCCCTCATTGATACAAGCCCCAACTAAGCACTCTCTCTTTAAAGAGACAGGAGCTCTGTACTACTTCAAAAAGTAAATTTGAAAAAATTATTTCTCTTTCCTATTCTGGTTGTAAGCACTCTCAAATAGAAGTTCCTCCTTGTTTACAAACCCTTCTAAAAGTCCCATATGAAGCTATATATATAAGCCCAGGGTCTATACAAGAGTTTCTTAAAAGACTTCCAGACCCCCAAAATCTCTTTTGATTTGGGTGATTGTGCTAGCTTTGTATCTTTCACTT